TTATATATATATATATATATATATATATATATATATATATATATATATATATATATATATATATATATATATATATATATATATATATATATATATATATATATATATATATATATATATATATATATATATATATATATATATATGTGTGTGTGTGTGTGTGTGTGTGTGTGTGTGTATATACATATATAATACATATATTTATGATAAATAAAGGTTTAAATTAGCATTTCATACAAATATTTTAGAGAAAATCTTAGACAAGTGGGCCTACAAAAATTGATCAGAGAAAGAAGTGGGCCCAAAGTGAAAAAAGTTGAGAACCCCTTGCGATAAAGAATCCTGAATCAGCATCAGTTTTACAGCCTTCTCAGAGGGAAAGACCACATCTGTGCCCTGCCATACCACACTGAGGTGTTCTCACAAGGAAATGTAACCATTTCACCTTTTGTCAGTTTTGTGGCTAATTCGTACAAGTTCAGTCGCACAAAAAAAGTACAATATAAAAAAGTGCCGTGGCACCCCTAAACCCAGCTATCATTGGTGGATAAGCAAATCGTACTAAATTGTATGAATGAGATTATACAAATAGCGCATTAAAGCTGAGATACAAGACGACAATACAACACTTACTATCACAATCATCAGCACAGATTGTTTATTTTACAGACTTATAATAGGGTGGAGGAACTATGACGTCAATTTGTATGCAAAAACCCGGAAGCGAGTTAGCATTTTAGCACTTCCGGTTCCCTCGTCCTAAAGTCAATGGGTTTTTTGAATGGGGTTTCAGTAAAATCGCTTAAATAAGGTCTGTGGCTAACACAAATTCAAGATAATTTCACGTTTTGTTCTACGACATAAAACACATCAGTTACAGCACACTCTTGCATTTTTAAATTGGTTACGCTTCTTTAAAAAGACGGTTGCTATCAAGTTGCTAAATGGGACTACAGGCGGTGTCGGGGACATTATACGTCATCGAGCTGATCTTGTCTGGAGCGCAGCTCGCTTGTGTTGGGCATTTGGATTTGTCTGTGATTTAGGTATTTTCATGAAGAGTATTTTATAGTGTCTATATTATATATCTATATAGTGTTCTAATTGGGAATTCAGATTGTGTGTAGATAATTCGAGATAATTTGATTCGAGACAGATTAATCTGTTAATCATTTATTTTAATTAAACGATATAATGAAGATACTGCTCACCAGTGCAGCCTGTCTCTCTCCTACTCTCAGTAATGCAAACGTGTAAATAAATGTGTAAAAATACACACATATTAACTGTCATTTTAACGTGATCAAGTGATTTTTTTCGTGCCTTTTTTTTCTTCATCTGGACACATTTAACTCTGTCATAACTGCAATATTTACACTCCTCTATAAAATGTATGTCAGATGTGACTATGAGCTGCTTTTCACTGTACTTTGTGACAAAAAGGAATATTGAGTGTTGCTCTGTGTCCATGATGATGGAACTTGCAGGCATTTAATAGACTTGTTCCTCACGCCTAATTTCTGTCGTCTGTTAAGGTAAGCAGGCTGTGTGCACGCGAGCGATACACTTACTTAAATATGTCTTATAATACTATAGAGGCAGATTCATGCACACAGTTTTAAAACTTTTAGAACAACCGTAAAGCAACACAGATGTATTTCCCATATAAAAACGATCCAAAAGGCACATAGGTCTGTGTTTTTGCCTATTTATTCGTTTATAATATATAGCGTGGATTATTATATAATATACAGAGAGATTAACTCTTTGTCATGGACATTATATCTAAAAATAAGCTTGATAAGTCGTCTGTAGCAGGGTGGGGCTGACGTCACAGGCAAGCGCCCCGAGGGCTCTGTAGTCCATTAATAGCCTAATGTTAGCTTTTCAGTTCTTGCATTTGCATTCAAGATCCAAAAGTGCTCAAGGTTGTATTTTCGTGTGAGGATTATCCGACTGCACAAAACGTGTAAGTGTAATGAACAGTGTGTGAACACAGAGCTTATTATTCGCAATCTTCAAAAAGCCTATAGGAAAATCCTATAGGGATTTTCACGAGGGAACCAGTTTTATGCTAGCAGCCGATTAGCCTACAAAGTGACGTCATAGTTCCTCCACTCTATATGCTGTTGTTCTATTGGAGTTTTTATTCCTAAATGGCCACCACGCCATCTAGTGGCTGTTTTCCAAATTGCACTAGAGTGTCGCCTCTTGGTGATTCTATGCTCTTTGGCTCCTGATCAGGACTCAAATATAAATGTTTGTATAATCTCATAATTTTTTAACACATCATGCAGTGGCACAGAGTTAGACCTCTTTCTTAACTTCACATAGAAACAGCAACGCGTGTGTCATGACATCACTGTGTTGCAGAGACACTATTGGTTAAATGCTGGCAAAGTAGAACACGGAAGTAGCTTGAAGCGGAAAGCACGAGTATGTCTGTGGTCTGGAGCTATTATAAAGTTGATGATGACAACATTGCCACAGCCAGTATTGTGAGATATATAAACTTAGCATTGCAAGAGGTGGAAAGGAAAAGGCTACATTTAACACAGCAAACCTGATAATACACCTTAAAAACAAACATAGAACCTCGATTTGAAATGCCGTCTCACCACTGTTTCACTGAAAAAGCTCTGCCAGCCCTTTATAAGAAGACAAACATGTCCTGTTATAAGAATGTACCCTGTGTTTCGTTCACCACAGACATATGGAGTTCATACGAAGCTCCCATTTCTCTACTAAGCCTTGATGTATTATAGAAGTATCAGATCGGGTTTCGGTATCGGTACTCAAAATTAAATGACTCGAGAGCAAAAAAAACCTGATCGGGACATCTCTAATTAAAACAACCCATCAATTTATTTTAGAGTTTAACATCTGCATTAATCGTCCAATAGCTGCTGGAGTTCTTCCTTGCAGTGGTTACCACCCACATCAAAGCATTCCATTCCACAAAGGCAGTAGTTAATAATGCTGTTTGTAATTGGAGGGAAAGGAGCCGCGTTATTCAGCCTTTCAAACTGTAATGATGTGATCAGAGAAGCATCTGTGAGTGTTTTTTACACTCCCGCTGGAGCACAGCACAACACACACACAGTTCACTCGCTTATACTCTATTAATGGCTTCATACACCAGAAACATCAGCCAGACTCATCTACACGTTACAATGTGTTTTTTTGATCACAATAATTTTCAGAATTCAACTAGAGTAGCACTGTCATATTTTTGTCATATTTTTAGGCTTTATAATGCCTTCAAAATGTTTACAGGCCTACTGTTTTTGGTGATAGTGACTTGCTAGTGATAAATAAGCCAGTAAATATATGTCTTATAACAAGTTTACAACACTTTATATAACAATATATGCGTTTGCCAATGACAAGGTGAAAAAAGGTTTTGTATTTTGTGTATGTTTGTATATACATACAGTGCATCTGGAAAGTACTCATAGCGCTTCACTTTTTTCCACATTTATGTTAAAGCCTTATTCCAAAATGGATTAAATTGATTTATTTCCTCAACATTCTACACACAATCCCCCATAATGACAATGTTAAAAAAGATTTTTTGAAATTGTTGCAAATTTATTACAAAATAAAAAGCTGTGAAATCACATGTACATCAGTATTCACAGCCTTTGGCATGGAGCTCTAAATTGAGCTCAGGTACATTCTGTTTCCACTGATCATTCTTGTTCTTCCTAGAGCTGGCCGGCCATCTAAGCTGAGTGATCGGGGAAGAAGGGCCTTAGTCAGCGAGGTGATTAAAAACCCAATATATATATATATGTGTGTGTGTGTGTGTGTGTGTGTATATATATATATATATATGTATATATGTATGTACAGCTGTTTTAGAACTTCAAATGTTCAACAACCCTTACAGTATTATATGTATTAACAATAAAAATGAAAAAAAAAAAATTGTCAATCAGACGAGGTCCAAACCCGGATTGGTGGCGTCACAACAGCTGTACATCAAACAGTGACTTATCTACTAGTTATATCATCATTAACCTGCAGGCTGCATCTTGCTCACGAGGCTACGAGAAAATAGATAAAAAGTGTGTGTATATGTGTGTGTATACACACACACACACACACACACACATATATATATATATATATTACAATGTGTGTGTGTGTGTATGTATATATATATACATATACATATATATATATATATATATATATATATATATATACTGGTAATATACATACACCTCCATCATTAAAACAGCAGCATGACATCATGATTTTTAAAGGCAGAAACTTTTCTTTCAGTTAAAGCCGTGTCCTCAGGAACATGTAGATACAGTGATGTAATCAGTTCTCTCATTCTGATGCTCACTGTGTGAAAGTTCACTGGGCCGATGATGTTATCAGCGCAAAGGTCAGAGATTTGATTGTAATCTGATGATAGAGTTCTGTGCGTCTAGATATCTGTAAACGAACTGTGAATGAATCTTCTGGTTTCACTGTGTTGCAATGCTATAAATATCTCTCCCTGCTGAACCTGTGCCCCGGCGTTCCCCTTGGTGCCATCATCAGGAATAATAAACAGCGAATTTCACAAGACGGGCGATATGAGGGTTCATGACACCAATGACAAATCATCGACACAGAAAGCTGGGAAGATGTCTTTTTAGATTTATAAAAACATATACAAAAGATATCTAATAAAGCATTCAGGTGAATCTGCCAAAAACATGTCTAAAACATGATGTATATCTTTTAATTATTAATATTATTTTAAAGACCTGCTTTATGAGTATGTCATTCCTGATTTCTTGCTAAAGACCTTTTTGAGATTCATCCTTTCAGGTCATGTTTTAATTATGTAATGTAATAACTAATTTAAAACTAATACATTCACCAAGACAAACTTTGATGTTCACTTGAAAAAGTTTCAACGTAATTTTTTTTTTTTTTTTTTTGAAGGACTGAAATGTGATGGTGTTGAGTGTGAAGTTTTGGCTGTTTGCTTTGTTATGACTGTGCTATTCTGGATGGTAGCTAATATGCTAGAATTGCTAGCGCTTTTAGTATAGTTTTTAACATGTTTTGAAACATTAGTAATGTAGTTGTCATGGTTTAGCATGTTGCTAGCATGTTTTAAATGTCCACTATTTTTTACAATGTGATTAACATGTTTTAAAACATTAAAAGCATTTATGAACATGTTTTAACATATTGATGGCATGATTTAACATCTTGTTAACCTGTTCTAACATGTTTAAAATGTTGTTAGCCTGTTCTACCATGATTTAGCATGATACTAATGTTTTAACAAGTTGTTAGTTTGTTCTAACATGTTTTAGCATAATGCTAACAGGTTTTAACACATTCTACCATGATGTAGCACAATACAAGTATGTTTAAGCACATTGGTTGTATGGTTTAACATGTTTGTCCTACCAAGTTTTAGCCCAACAATGTTTTAAGATGTTGCTAGCCTGTTCTACTATAATTTAACACAACACTAGAATGTCTTAACATGTTGTTAGCCCGTTCTTTCATGATTTAGCAGAATACTAACATGTTTTAACATGTTGTTAGCCCATTCTACTATGATTTAGCACAATACTAACATGTTTTAACACGTTGTTAGCCTGTTCTGCCATGATTTAGCACAATACTAACATGTTTTAACATGTTAGCCTGTTCTATCATGATTTAGCTCAATGATAACATGTTTTAACATGTTGTTAGCCTTATCTACCATGCGTTGGCACAATGCTAACATGTTTTAACATGGTGTTAGCCCATTCTACTCTTATTTGGCACAATAGTAATGTTTTAACATGTTGTTAGCCTGTTCTACTATGATTTAGCGCAATACTAACATGTTTTAACATGTTAGCCCATTCTACCATGATTTGGCACAATGCTTACATGTTTTAACATTGTGTTAGCCCGTTCTAGTATTACTTGGCACAATGCTTAAATGTTTTAACCTGTGGTTAGCCCGTTCTACCATGATTAGGCACAATGCTAACATGTTTCAACATGTTGTTAGCCTGTTCTACCATGAGTTATCACAGTGCTAACATGTTTTAAGATGGTGTTAGCCTGTTCTACCATTATGTGGCACAATAATAACATGTTGTTAGCCTGTTCTACCATGTTTTAGCACAATACTAGTCTGTTTTAACACGTTGTTAGCCTGTTCTACCATGTTTTAGCACAATAATAGCATATTTTAACATATTTTGTCTGTTGTGGCATATTTTAGCTCATCGGTATAGCATGGTTTAAAATGTTTGTTCAACCATGTTTTACTGCATTACTGGTATGTTAAAACATGTTTTACCATGTTTTACCATCATTCAGCACAAAACCAGCATATTTTACATATTTCTAGCCTGTTCTATCGTGTTTTAGCTCATTGCTGGCATGGTTTATTGTTGTTAGACTGTTCTACCATGTTTTAGCACAAAACCATGATTTAACATGTTGCTAGCCTGTTCTACTATTTTTATCACATTGTTGGCATGGTTTATCATGTTGTTAGCCTGTTTTAGTGAAATACTAGCATGTCTTAACATGTTGTTACACTTTCCTACCACCTTTTAACACAACACTAGCATGCTCTAACATGTTGTTAGCATGTTTACCATCTTTAGCACAAGACTAGCATGTTTTAACAAAGGGTTGCCCAAACTCTGTCCTGAAGGGCAGATGTCCTGCAGTTTAGCTCCAACTTTAGCCAGGAAGTTTCTGATATACAGTATCTTAACTAGAGCTTGATTAGCTGATTCAGTTGTGTCTGGTTGGGGTTGGAGCTAAACTCTGCTGGACAACTTAAGTATGAGCAACCTTGTTTTAACATGTTAGCCTGTCCTACCATCTTTAGCACAATACTAGCATGTTTTAACATGTTCATATAGCCAGTTCTTACTAGCGCATTACTAGCATGATTTAAAATATTAGTATATTATATTATCTATTTTTAAGGTCCAGTTTGAAGGTCTAAACTGAATTTAGCGGTTATGAAAGTTGTATGATTAGCTAAAAATCTGATTTTGTCTCAGAGCTAGTGTTTAACCACTTTTAATTTAGAGAAAGATACTACTACACACACACAGACAGGCATTCAGGACACACCCAGAGCATCAGCGGCCTTCAAACATTTCTGACAGTGACGTAAACTAGTCCAGAGTCCATATTTATTGAGTTTTTACCAACTGACCAGAGATAAACCTCCTAGAGTTCAGTAGTTTTCACCATTCCACACACTCACACACATCAAGACACACTGTGCAAAAGAAAAACAGATCAGATCGATTCATTTCATCAATGAAGCCCAATAATAATATTTTAAATCCATGCAATTTAGTCATTTTTTGTGTTCACCTTAAATAAATAAAATCAGGCATTTGTCTGATATCGCTTTAATCACACTGATACTGACAATACAACTGAAATGAAGACTTATAAGACTTTAAATAATGTTATTAAGACTTAAAAAACAACTTAAAATAGGCGACACGGAGACTCAGTGGTTAGCATTATCGCCTCACAGCAAGAAGGTCGCTGGTTCGAGTCCGGCTGGGTCAGTTGGCATTTCTGTGTGAATTTGCATGTGCATTGTTTGCTGTGGATTTCCTCCGGGTGCTCCGATTTCCCCCTCAGTCCAAACAGGTGAACTACAAGGGGATTGGATGAACTAAACTGGCCATAGTGTATGAGTGTGTGTGAATGTAAGTGTGTATGGGTGTTTCCCAGTACTGGGTGGCAGCTGGAGGGCTGTGTAAAACATATGCTGGAATAGTTGGCAGTTCATTTCACTGTGGCGACCCCTAATAAATAAGGGACTACACTGAAGGAAAATGAATGAATGAATATATTTGAGTAGAGAATCATTAGCCCTCCTGTGAAATGCAATTGGTTTGACAGTTTAGAGATCAAGATTACAGCCCGAGTCTGTAGTTGTGTTCTGTCAGTTTGTGGATGTGAGTGCTGCAGGTCTGTCAGTTGTTCTTCTTGCCGTTGCGGGTCTGTTCTTCTGGATGGACTCTGATGAAGAAGCTTTGTTTGGCGTAACAGCGCAGGGCGAGCAGGACGGGCAGCGCCACCGTCAGCAGGTTCAGCAGGACCACCGTGCGCCACTCGTCTTTCGGGATCCGGTATGTGAACGGTGTGCGAGAATGAAGCGATGCGCCAAGGTGAGTCCACTGAGTCTGTGCAGATAACACACACATCACATCACATCACAGCATTTGGGTCAAATATAGACATACCTAAATTTGGGTTGATTTTTGTTCAAACTTAAATTAAAATTTTACCCAAATGTTCACTGGGTCTCTGTCAGCTTTGATTACAGGAAACACTTAGGGTTTCTTTTTTCTTTCTTTGTGCATATTATACAGTTTTGCATGTTTCTGAAGGACATTTTTGGCCCGTTTGGAGATTTAAAAAAAAAATCGCTGGGTTAATAACTTTGGGTTGTTTTAAGCCAAAGTTGAGTAAAATATAGACAAACCCAACATTGAGTTCATTATTTGTTAAATTCAAATGACAATTAGTTTAGTCCATATTGTCCAATTAGTTTAGTCATATTTGACCCAACTTTAAGTTATACACAACAGCATTTTTTCTGTCTCTGAAGGAAATATTTGGCCCAATTTGACATATAATATAACTACAATCTAAAAACTACTGGGTTGTTTGAACGCACTGTTGGGTCAGATATGGACAAATGTTAAGTTGATTTCAGTTACTTCAATTAAATTACATTTTCTAACCCACCATTGGGCTTGTCCTTATTTGACCCAACACTGAGTTACAACAACCCAGCTTTTTAAAAGTGTATATTATTTATTACTGCTTATGTCTCTGATAGTCGTTTTTGGTACATTTGGACTATAAAAGTTACTACACTCTAAAAAATACTGGGTTGTTTTAACCCAACATTGGGTCAAATATGGACAATCTCAACAGTTAAATCCAAATGGCACTTTTAAATCCAACAGTTGGTTTTGTCCGTGTTTGACCCAGTGTTTTCTTTATGTTTTTCTCTTTTAAGCAAGTTATATATCATTGCCTTGGTCTCTGAGGGACAATTTTGGCTCATCTGGGCATTAAAAAAGTTTTTTAAAATTCTGGGTTGTTTTAACTCAATGTTGGGTCAAATATGGACAAAACCAACATTGAGGTAATGGGCTATATGCATGGGAATTTATACAGTACACTTTTCATTTTGAATTTTACTAGTATCTGAAGGACATTTTTGGCTCGTTTGGAGATTTAAAATGTTGCTATAATCGCTGGGTTAATAACGCTGGGTTGTTTTAAGCCATAGTTGAGTAAAATATAGACAAACCCAACATTGAGTTCATTATTTCTTACATTAAAATGACAATTAGTTTAGTCCATATTGTCCAATTCGTCTTTGAAGGAAATATTTGGCCCAATTTGACATAAAATATAACTACAATCTAAAATCTTTTCATTTTGAATAAGCCCACTCGGGGGCTTATAGTGAACTGTCATGTCATTATAAACTCACTGGGCCCTATCATACACCCGGCGCAGTGTGGCGCAAGGCGTGGCGCAATAGTCTTTTGGTAGTTTCAGCTTGGCGCAAAAGTTGTTTTGAGGCTTTGCGCTACGCTGTTTAAATAGCAAATGCATTAGCGCTCATATGTGCGCCCATAGGCGTTCTGGTCTAAAAAGGAAGGCGTTCTGAGGCGGACCGCTGGCGCGTTGCTATTTTGAGAAACTATAATAGATTTTTCATTAGACCAAAACTAACCCGGTCTAAACTCCAGCGCAGAGTTGCACCTCACTTACACACTGCTTAATACACACAAGAGAACAATAGGCAAATATCTTTACATATGAAAAAATGTTAATATTAAGGATATATATAGGATATAATAAGAATAGATATAGGATATAAATATAAAGGATTAAAATATTACAGAACATATTATTTTCTAGCCTACATAAATATGAAAAATCACTGCTTTTATGTCTTCTTCATCTCGGGAGGCTTTTTCAGTTCATTCATAACAATTTGCTTTTGTATAATGTTATTATTATTAGCAGTATTATTCATTATATCCATATTTATATTTGTTTTATTAAAAACAAGCTTAGATTTGCCCACCTGTCAGGTTTTAGACCATATGGGGCACAGCATGTGTTTTAGGATATAACTCAGGTTTTTGAGCACACTTTGTTATTATTATTCATTTATTCGTTTGCTGGAAATTAGAACTGAATTTAGAAATAGTTTTGAAATGAATATTTGCGCTTAACAAACAAAAGTATTTATTTATAGACTAATTGATGTCTGTGCGTAAAGGTTTCCCTATCCAAGAGCGAAAGTGAAAGTGATCCATTATCTCTCATTCTCACGCAGTAGATGCTCTGTTTAACAGTTTTCTGTTAAAAAAACTGTTAACTGTTTGCTAGGGAAATGCTCAGTTTTCCACTTACACTTACTTTGCGTCCTGTAAATAGCGAATGCGCTCTTGGCGCGACGCAGCTGATTCTTAAAGGGAATGGGAGATGAGACTCTATATGGTTTATTCTCAAAACACACCTATAACTCATTAAGAAAATAAACTCAACCCTTTTAGACCATGCGCCATGGCGCAAAGCAGATTTCCAGTCCTTAAATTGGCAAAAACGCGTCCTGACACGCCCTGAAAGCGTTTGCGCGCTGCGCATGGACCGTCAAAATAGAGCCCACTGTGTTTAAGATCTGATCTGATTAAAATCAATGATCTTCACTGCCTGATTGAAATATGATATGAAGTGGTTTCACACCTGACTAAAAGCACTGCATTCAATTCCATTGTTTCACGTCATGTGGAAATGTATTTGATCACAATATTTGCAATGCAGTTTCAGCATTAGCCTGCTGCTCCTGGCGGCAATTGTGTTTAAACAGCTTTTCCCCTCGTTTAACGCTTGAAGTTTATCAGTGGCTGAAAAACACTTGCCATGCATATACCCTAATATTTCAGTTAAATTACAATCCAACATATGAACACAACAGTTGGGTTTGTCAGTATGCTAGTTTTAGTCGTAATTGTCATCAGTGTTTTCAGTGTGTGTACCTGAGCCACAGCTCCAGCGAGGACGAGTGTCCAGTCCAACATCCACGTACATCCAGGAGTGTGAAGCCCGTAAACACACGCAAACAACAGCGGAAACACATAGAAGAGCAGCACCAGCATCTGCAGGCAATAATGAATCATCATCCTCTATTAGAGTCAACAATACTGCACATAGAACTTTAGCATTTGTTGTTGTTTGCTTTATTTCCCACTTATTTTATGTCCTTCTGTCTTATGTTATATATGTATGTACCCTGAGCTTGTGAAAAAAAAAATCTTTGTGTGTTTGTGCACACTTAGCGATTAAAGCTCATTCATTTACATTCTGATTCTGAATAAAATGACCTAAAATTGAGCAGGAAACCCCTCACTTTACTTATTAATCTCGGTAACTGATTACCCCGACACTGACCGTGACTTTAGGAAAGCCGACGCTGTCCTTCATGTAGGGCTCGTACTGATAGATGTAGGAGAAACACAGATCCAGAGAACACTCCAGAACAACCTGATGGAGATTATAAAGATGGAGATGAATGAAGAACAGAATAAATGATAGATAAACAAACACACATGGATTGATGGATGGATGGATGGATGGATGGTTTGGTCGATGGGTGGATGGGTAGATTGGTGAATGGGTGGATGGATGGGTGGATGGTGGATGGGTGGACAGATGGATGGATTGGTGGGTGGATTGGTGCATTTTAGATGGATAAATAGATGGATGGATTGGTGGGTGAGTGGATGGATGGATTTATGGATGGGTTGGTAGATTTTAAATGGGTGGATGGATGGGTGGATGAATGGATAGATTGATGGATTGGTAGACTAGATTGATGGATTGTTGGGTGGGTGGATTGATGGATGGGTGAATTTTTGATTGATAGATAGGTGGATGGGTGGATGGATTAATTGGTGGGTGGGTGGGTGGATTGATGGATGGATGGATTTTGGATGGGTTGGGGGGTATATGAATGGATGGTTGGATAATTTTTAAATGGATGGTGGATTTTGGATGGTTGGATGGGTGGATGTTGAATGGGTGGATGAATGGATGGGTGGGTGAATGGATGGATTGATGGATGGGTGGGTGGATGGATTGGTGGGTAGGTGGGTGGGTGGATGGATGGATGGATGGGTGGATGGATGATTTGGTGGGTAGGTGGGTGGGTGGATGGATGGATGGATGAATTGATGGATGGGTGAAAGGGTGGGTTGATGGATGGATGGACTTTTGGATGGGTTGGTGGGTGGATGGATGGATGGATGGATGGATGGATGGATGGATGGATGGATGGATGGATGGATTGATGGATGAGTGGAATGGTGGATTGATGGATGGATGGACTTTTGGATGGGTTGGTGGGTGGATGGATGGATGGATGGATTGATGGATGGGAGGAATGGTGGATTGATGGATGGATGGACTTTTGGATGGGTTGGTGGGTGGGTGGATGGATGGATTATTGGATGGGTGGAATGGTGGATTGATGGATGGATGGACTTTTGGGTGGGTTGGTGGGTGGGTGGATGGATGGATTAATGGATGAGTGGGAGGGTGGGTTGATGGATGGATGGACTTTTGGATGGGTTGGTGGGTGGTTGGATGGATACTGGATTGGTGGATGGATAGATGAATGGATGGATGATTTTTGGATGAATGGGTGGATTTTGGATGGATGAGTGGATTTTAGATGGATAGGTGGGTGAAATTTGGATGGATGGATGGATGGATGGATGGATGGATGGATGGAAGGGTGGACGGACGGATAGATGAATGGGTTGGTGGATGAATGGATGAGTGGAATTTGGATGGATGGATGGATTTTGGATGGATGGATGGTTGGGTGGAATTTGGGTTGATGGGTGGATGGATGGATGGATGGATGGATTAATGGGTGGATGGGTGGATTTTGGTTGGATGGTTTTTGGATAGATGGATGTGAGGACACTTACAAACCCTCTGAAGGCATTAAAGGCCATGTTTCCCAGCAGGCCAAGCGTCAGCAGCAGATCTACAGGTCGGGACAGCAGTGTTTTCTTCTGCTCCTGCTGCAGCTGCACACAACAAACTCAACCTTAAAAGGCAGCTATTATGCATAAATCACCTTCATAAAGGGTTTAAACAGTTGTGTATCAGCAGTGTGCGAATATAAGCAGCTTCTAATGCTAAAAAATTAATTCAGAATTTTTTTTTATTACACTTAATAAAAACAGTCTGCATAAACACTTTGATTGACACTCTCCCTTTGTACGTGCCATCAGAGGGAGAAGGCCCCGCCCACTAGCGACCCTCTCTCCCTCATTAGCATAAACAGCCTTGACTGTGAAGCAGCCGTCCATTAGCCATTAGGGTTTTGACCTGCTGTGTTGTCAGTCATACAGTAGATCTGACGTGCTTATTAGCCTGTATGACATCACATCATCATTTGTCTTCACCTGGTCAGCAGGAATGATTGACAGCTCCCTCGGCCTATTGAAAAGCCTCACCGCCGCCCATATGGATAAAAGCAAAGCCGGGCCATGTCTACACAGAGCAGGAACCAGGTTTTTCCCATATTTACCTGAATAGACACATTAATATATAGCACTGAGTTTGACACACACACTTTTAGCAAAAACACAGCTCAGATTTAGAGTATATGAGGTGACTTTCTCACCCACTATGACGCCAGAGATTACTACAATCTGACTGGTGATCATAGATCCAGCCCATAATAAACCCAGACTGCGAAACGGCTTCCTGACAGAGGAAAAACAGCACATATTAAACCAACACTGTTCATATCAATGTCTTTATATGAAAGAAAAGGAATGAATGAATGACTACAGAACAAACCACTGTTATACAATGACTTGCCTAATTACCCTTACTTGCCTAATGGACCTAATTAACCTAGTTGCGCCATGCAATGAATAGCTGAATACTAGTATCTTTGCAAAGTATCTTGTAAATACTGTCATCATGGCAAATATATAAGAAATCAGTTATTAGAAATCGGTTATTAAATCTATTATGTAAAAAATAAACAGCACTTGGGAAATATAAATAGAATTAAAAGTTCACAGGAGGGCGAATAGTTTAGTCTTTAAGCTAGTCCATTAATTTCAGCTTCAGATCTAATGATTTGATGTGACGTGTTGATGTGAACACATGATGTATTCTGTTGTAATGATGATTTTTACCCTTCGCTCATGCAGTGGATCATGAAGAGCAGCAGACAGTAGTGAATCACGCCGTCCCAGTAGCTCATCATCACACCGTGAGCTGTGTTTAGATACGGCTCTGCCTACAACAACAGCACAAGTAAGACAATTATCCATCATTAATGAATGCACTTTAAAAATAAAGTGATGTTCTACTTTAGTACAATTGTTTAAAGGAGACCTATTAGTACCCTTTTTACAAGATGCTAAATAAGCATCTGATGTCTCTACACTCTCAGAAATAAAGGTATGTGAGCTGTTATTGGGGTGGTACCTTTTCAAAAGGTACATATTTGTACTTAAAGGCCATATATTGGTATCTCAAAGGTATATATTAGTGCATAAACATTTCAAGAAGTACTAATATGTACCCTCAAGGTATTAATAAGGACCTGTTGGAGCCATTTCTTTTTTTTATAATTAGGTTTGGATTAAATTGGTTGGATTATATGGTTATTATTAAGTTTACATTTGATAATTGTTGTATTTAGGTTTGAGTATTTAGAATTTTGTATTCATATATTATTCATATCTAAGTATTTGCTTTATTGTTGTGATTTTGTGAATGAAGACTTTTATTCTGTTAAAATTGGGATTTAGGGAAGCCAGGTAGTAGGTGGAGTAGTAAGGGAAGCGGATACAATTTTCAGATCGTGGGTTTGTGTGTGGTGACGGGTGCTACTGAGAAGCAATTTCACTGATTTGATGGCACAAGATGTGATAAAATAAAAATTAAAAAAAAGGATTCACAGCGGACTAACGCGTCATTGTTTACCCTTACCGCATTAGCGGCTTGAAGCAAAAATGCCGCTACAGGACCCTTTAAGTACAAATATTTACCTTTCGAAAAGGTACCACCCCAGTGACAGCTCGCGTACCTTTATTTCTGAAAGTGTAGAGTGTGTGTGTGAAGTTTTAGCTCAAAATACCACACTGACAGGGCCGGATTAACCAATGGGCCTTATGGGCACAGGCCCAGGGGCCCTTGCGCACTAGGGGCCCCTGCGAGGTGGGAGAAAAAAAGACAATTTCGGAGTGTCTTTTTAGGCTAATTGCAAATAGCGATTCTAGTTGGAATAAGCTATTCAGGGTTTATCGATGCCTGATTGATAGAGACAAGATGAGTAAAGAGCTGTGTATCATTTCAGCCGCAGTGGCGCACCTTGTAAGGCGCATTGTCTCATCTTTTGACGCGTTTGATCATCAACTCGGTTCGAATCCACCATCAGCTGAACTCGTGCTACTTTTTAATCCCCATTACATATCAGATTGGAAATATATTTATTTTTAACAGGAAGGAAACATTTTTTTTTAAATAATGCAAATGTGATATAAAGTCACAAGTGTCTCGTGGGTATTTAATAATGTTTAGCCTTATTTTAGGTGCCTCCCTCTCTGCAAAAACTATATTGCTCAGACAACTGTATTTCCTCTGAGCAAAAAAAAATAGCGATCACACATTAATATTATTATTATATTTAAATTGCCTTTCTTTATTTAACTAAACAGAATGCTGTAATTGGTCAAGCGCGGAAACGTCAGTTTTGTAATAACCCGCACTAAACTGAGCGGACTGTGGTGTAACGTTATATCTGTCATAGATCAAAAATGAGTGGACAAGTGGATTTAGCAAACGCGAGAGAAAGAGGAGAGGAAGCAACTTTATTGAGGCATTTTCCATACACACCTTCTTTAAACAGACCCATGATCAGGAAAATGAGGGTACAGAAGAAGACGTTATGGTAACTTTAAATGATGAGAAGCTAGCATTAACCAGGCGGAGAGAGACAGACAGAAAAGGAGAGAGAGAGGGAGAGAGAGAGAAAGGCCCAGAAGAGGAGAGAGACGGGAGAGAAGAGGTATAGTGTGTGTGATTTCGGATACTTTTAGGTTTATAATCAAGTCTTCATCACGATAAGAGTAGAGAAAATACAGGGAGAGGAGGAGAGAGACAGTAAATCAGAGTTTGTATTATGAAAGACTCAGATTCATAGAACTGTATTAGAGAAGCATTGTGCGTTATATGCCATGGCAATAATATGCTTTACAAGTTTGTAAAAGCAATACATTAAAATACCCTTAAAAAAAAAAAAAAAAAAAAAATATATATATATATATATATATATATATATATATATATATATATATATATATATATATATATATATATATATATATATAGTTTTATTAGTATTTTTATTCAATGCTTTGAAAAATAAGTTAAATCTTTTTAGACTATAAATACATATGTACTATATATCATTTATTTAAATATGTGGGCAACAAATTATAGATTAATTTTATTTAAAAATTATTATATTATTCTTATTTTTTAAATTCAACTATAGGGGTGCGGCCAGGTAGGGGGCCTTACAATGTGCCCAGGGGCCCCTGAGTTCTTAATCCGGGCCTGCACACTGATAATGTTTATAACACTCTGAAACTGACCCAATTAGGTTTTGATTCTAATTGTGCTGTTTTGGTGACTGTCGCTTTAAATTAAAATGAGATTGTGCTCTTTTCAGAAGAGGGTGGAGCTACAAACGCCTGTGTGTCAGCATAGTGGCAGATTCAAAAACAAGACTAACATTGTCTGTGAAAAACTAATAATGTCAAAAGAAGTAGAAAACATTTATATTTCTCTTAGTCACTGACATTATCTTCAGCAGATAGAAAATCCGTCTTATGCTAATTAGGGATAGATGGTCACTAGTGGGTGTGGCTTTTCCCCCTCTGATGACACGTACAAAGGGAAAATGTCAATCAAAGTGTTTCTGCAGACTGTTTTGATCAAGTCTGATTATATAAAATACCATTAATACATTTTACCATTAGAAGCTGCTTATATATACACACTGCTGACACACAACTGTGTTTAAACCCCTTATAAAAATAATTTCTGCATAATAAGTAATCTTTAAACCCTTTTAAATCAGTATAGATTTACTTAAGCAAAATGACACATAATAGGTCTTGTTTTACAGAAAAAAAAAATATTTGTATGCCTAAAATTAGAATAAATGTCTGCAAATGTAGTCATAAAAAGAAAACAATTGTTTTTCTGACATAGGTAGATGTTTTTTTTTGTTTGTTTTTTTTGTATAAATTTATTGAATTTTGGCACGTTTTCTCAGAACACAAGATTTAATATCTTAAACAAAATAGGTCTTTGTTGGAAATCAAGACAATAATTCAAGAGGTCTTTTTGTAATGTTTTTTAGCTCCATTTTGAAGAATGTGTGGTAAAATAAAGCATCAGTTATTTCAGTGCTATTATGACAACATGCTTAATTAGTGTATTGAAAAACTAAATGTAGTTTTAAAATCTACATGTAATCTGGTTATTTTCTGTCGTACATTGCAACTCTGCATCACGTTATAATTGTTATTAACGTCAAAGTTGATGCCTATATTGTTACAATCAACATTGTTAAATCATATTATTATGCAATAAAAATATTTTAATACAATATTGTTATAACATATTTTAATATACAATAAATACACAATACTGATATATTAATATTGATTATAACAAAATAGACATCAACTTTAAAACCAATTAATGGTATATATATATATATATATATATATATATATATATATATATATATATATATGGATTTATAAATTTATTTTATAATATAAAATTGAAATACTGTGTGTGTGTGTGTGTGTGTGTGTGTGTGTGTGTGTGTGTGTGTGTGTGTGTGTGTGTGTGCGTGCGTGCGTGCGTGCGTGCGTGCGTGCGTGCGTGTGTGCGTGTGTGCGTGAGTGTATATATTTATATAACACTTCTATCTGGTTCTTGAATCTGTTTGGCTGATAGCCGTGCGATATTTTGCCAGCAACATCACACAAAGGCCTCTTCACCCTTCACCTCTGTGTATTACTCCGCCCACATACAGCCAGCAACAAGCAGAGACACTACAGGTTGACAAATATTACTGCTGTTAGACAACAAAATATACTTTTGAGGCTTTTTTCATCGAGAATGTAGTTGTTTAGATTGCAACTATGCAGTTTATTTGTAAGAATAGTGCCTTTTTTTTTAAATATTTACAATTTCTGAGAAAGCTGGTTGGCGGCCATTAGCCTGCCATAGTGTAGTAGACCAAAGACGGTTGACGTTGTCTATCCACAAGATGGCGCCAGGACTGCATAATAAGCCCTTGCTCCTTAAAACTGTTGTGTTTTCTTGAGCGCAAACAAGAAGCTGAAAAACGGAAGCGTCTCGGTTTTTAAGGTGGACCGGATAGAGTCAATAAAAAGCTACGATTAAGAAGCTGGATTGAGCCTTTTCCCTGCATATCGCAAACACAACAGCAGTCTGGTCGTGAGTGCGCTGTTTTTTTCAGGGTTAATTATTGTGATATTGTAACGGTCACTTAATGTTTGATATGCATTGTGTATAAATGTCCCCTTTAAGAGGACTTCTTCTGTGGTTGTTTTACCTTTTAGATGTAAGCACGCATGTATAGGAGCTCCGTTCAGTTCTGGTGAGCTCTGGGAAGTGTGTGTTGTTCGCTCTACCGCTGTTTCATTCTTTTATTTCAATATTGTAACATTTTATTTTATGATGGATGTTTAAGTGTCTTTTTCTTTTCCTTTTGTCTACTCATTGTCGTTGACTGGCATGTATGTAGTTTCTGTCTCCTTTTTTTATTCCTTAAAGTCTCCGGGTAAACGCTGTGACACCTGGCACCTGTCACAATACAGACGGCAACAGAGAAATACTGTAGACTGTAATAAACTGTAGGGAGATATCTCTGTAGACGGATGGCATTTCATGTCACGTTCAGCCTTATAGGGCTCTATTTTGACGGTCCATGTGCAGAGCGCAAAATGCAGGGCGCATTCGCTTTCAGGGCGTGTCAGGACGCGTTTTTGCTAATTTAAGGACGGAAAAATCTGCTTTGCGCCGTGGCGCATGGTCTATAAGGGTTGAGTTTATTTTCTTAATGAGTTATAGGTGTGTTTTGAGAATAAACCAATTAGAGTCTCATCTCCCATTTCCTTTAAGAGTCAGCTGCGTCGTGCCAAGAGCGCATTCACTATTTACAGGACGCAAAGTAAGTCTAAGTGGAAAAACTGAGCAATTCACAAGCAAACAGTTAACAGTGTTTTAACAGAAAACTGTTAAACAGAGCATCTACTGCGTGAGAATGAGAGATAATGGAACTACTTTCACATTCGCTCTTGGATAGGGAAACCTTTACGCACAGACATCAATTAGTCTATAAATAATTAATTTTGTTTGTTAAGCGCAAATATTCGTTTCAAAACTATTTCTAAATTCAGTTCTAATTTCCAGCAAACGAATAAATGAACAATAATAACAAAATGTGCTCAAAAACCTGAGTTATATCCTAAAACACATGCTGTGCCCCATATGGTCTAAAACCTTACAGGTGGGCAAATCTAAGCTTGTTTTTAATAAAACAAATATAAATATGGATATAATAAATAATACTGCTAATAATAATAACATTATACAAAAGCAAATTGTTATGATTGAACTGAAAAAGCCTCCCGAGATGAAGAAGACATAAAAGCAGTGATTTTTCATATTTATGTAGGCTAGAAAATAATATGTTTTGTAGAATTTTAATCCTTTATATTTATATCCTATATCTATTCTTATTTTATCCTATATATATCCTTAATATTTACATTTTTTCATATGTAAAGATATTTGCCTATTGCTCTCTTGTGTGTATTAAGCAGTGTGTAAGCGAGGCACAACTCTGTGCTGGAGTTTAGACCGGGTTAGTTTTGGTCTAATGAAAAATCTATTATAGTTTCTCAAAATAGCAACGCGCCAGCGGTCCGCCTCAGAACACCTTCCTTTTTAGACCAGAACGCCTATGGGTGCACATATGAGCGCTAATGCATTTGCTATTTAAACAGCGTAGCGCAACGCCTCAAAACGACTCTTGCGCCAAGCTGAAACTACCAAAAGACTACTGCGCCGCGCCTTGCGCCACACTGCGCCGGGTGTATGATAGGCAAAATCAGCTGTTTTGTCATCACAGACATTACGCTATAGTGAGTCATTCAAACACTAGCTCTAAAGTGACATTGGTGAATTAACGGCTTCTCCGTGTTTGATTTTATGTATGTATGTATGTATGTATGTATGTATGTATGTATGTATGTATGTATATATATATATATATATATATATATATATATATATATATATATATATATATTTATATGTATATGTATATATATATAAATAAACATACATATATACAGGGTGGGCCATTTATATGGATACACCATAATAAAATAACTTGTAAATAACTCAAGAAAGAATAAAGTTACGTTTAAAACTCAGCACACCATTGTTTTTCTTGTGAAAATCCCAAAAAGTTTATTGGTGTACATATATTCATATACATCCATTATACATCCATATAAATGGTCCACCCTTTATATATACATATAAAATCATATATTTATTAGTAAAAAATGTATACCATATGTTTATCATGCACTTTTTTAATCATGTTTTATATAATCATGTATGTATATATAATCATATCTTTCAAATTATTCATTATTATAATACTTACAAATATTACTAATATTTGAATAAAATAATTGTGACCATAAACAGTCATTTACTTGTGTGTGTGTGTGTGTGTGTGTGTGTGTGTGTGTGTGTGTGTGTGTGTGTGTGTGTGTGTGTGTGTGTGTGTGTGTGTGTGTGTGTGTGTGTTTGTGTCTCTGACCTTGCTAATATAAAAGTCCATGAAGCCTTTGATGAAGCCGTCCTGCTGCAGAGCATTTGTGATGCTGACAACAGACGTGAAGGAAAACAGTGCAAACACTGAAACACACACACACACACACAAAGAGAGAGAGACACACACACACACACACACAAATTGTAAACATTAGCATGTTCAGCTCTGCACCTCTGCTTTATCTCTGTCTCTCTCCATCTAACACACACTCCCTCTCTCCTCCCCATCTCTCAGTCTCAGTCTGTCTTTCACTTTATTTTCTTCTCCAGTTATTGATTTCTGTCCTGAACAGTGAGTTAATGATGCTCACGCTGGTCCAGGTGAAGGTGCACTTACATCACATGGCTTGAAGGGTTTTTTTTACTCCATGTGCATCTTTTGGACTTGTGCATACATTAAATAAACCTTACTACATACAGTTGAATTCAAAATTATTCACCCTCCTGTAAACTTTTCCAATATTTCCAAATGATGTTGAACAGATTCAGGAATTTTTCACAGGATTTCCTATAATATTTTTTCTTCTGGAGAAAGTATTATTTGTTTTATTTTGGCTAGAATAAAAGCATTTTTTATAATGTTGTTTTTTTTATTTTTTTATGTTTTAATCACCATTTTAAGGTCAATATTATTAGCTCGCTTAAGCAATATTTGTTTTGAATTGTCTCCAGAACAAACACCTGTTTACAATGACTTGCCTAATTATCCTAACCTGCCCAATTAACTTCATTAAATAGCTCTTATTTATCATTTTATTTTCTCATGTTACATTGCATATATTAGTTTTGGTCTTACCGTAGAACAGAGGGTCTGTCGATTTCTTACTCTTGACACTGAGGTTTGCCAGGAGGAATATTGTTGTAAGAACTGTGATGCCTATAGTCAACATAACCTGTGGACTGACAGGGAAAAAACATCATTTCACACAACACATCCATTCATTGATATGAAGAGTAAGCCTTAAAAATAGCCTAAAAAGTGTAAGAGGAACACTTTTGTACTTTTTAGGTACTAATATGTGCCCTTAAGGTATTAATATGAAGTGTAGTATATTGTCATGTGGGTATCTGATATAGAAATAGATCTGGTAGCAGATATCGCAGCCTTTGTCATTCTTTACCTTCCACTTTTGTGTTAACATTTATTATAATTTATTTAGGATATGTGTTTTTACTTTCTGACTCCAATGACTCATTATTAAACTGTTAAAATGACTACAATTAGGCTGCTTGTGTAGCAAGCCGCCAGACTACTGTTATCCTATTTTTCTTCTGAGACTAAAAAACAAAATGCATCTCCTCCTAGAACTTTTGAGCTATGACCACCAAACTCACACCAGACCTCCAAACTGGTCTGACTCGGGTTGCTATATCTTTTCCGACTGATCTGACTTTCAGTTTTCCAAAAAACGTCCCGGGACCATCGGAAAAATCCCATTGACTTAACATTGGACCAAACTTTGTGACCTCATAACTCTGCATCAGACTGTCCTACAGACTAATGGCTGAGCTCAGTTAACTCAGCCTAGCCAGCAACCAATCACTGATGGCCTTTTAACTTTCTAGCCACTCCCTAACAACCAGATCCTGCACCCTAGCAACTGTCCCATAGACTGCCATTATAGAGGTTCAGATTGATATCGTCATGCTGAAGTGTTATAGAGACATGGGGGTTGTTTTTAACTGTTCATACTGGCAAGAACCTTTGATACATCATCAGTCTAAGCTGTCAATCAACTCCATAGCAACAAAACAGACTAACCTAGCAACAATATAACAGCAGCTGTATCTCAGCATCAAAACATCGTAGAGAAGTGGGGGTTGGCTTGTTTGACTCATGCTAACACACCATACAGTACATCCTGTATGGTTCACATGCTAGCAATGACTAGCAACATGCTAATAATGTACTTTAACATGCTAGAAATTCTTACTGAACATTAAGGAAAATCTATAGAACACTGCTCTATCTATCTATCTATCTATCTATCTATCTATCTATCTATCTATCTATCTATCTATCTATCTATCTATCTATCTATCTATCTATCTATCTATCCATCTATCTATCTGTCCGTCCGTCCGTCCATCCATCTACCTATCTATCTATCCGTCTATCTGTCTGTCCGTCCGTCTGTCTGTCTGTCTGTCTATCTATCTATCTATCCATCCGTCCGTCCGTCCGTCCGTCCATCCATCCATCCATCTATCTATCTACCTATCTATCTATCTGTCTATCTGTCTGTCTGTCCGTCCGTCCGTCCGTCCGTCTATCTGTCTGTCTGTCTATCTATCTATCTATCTATCTATCTATCTGTCTATCCCTCTGTCTGTCTGTCTGTCTGTCTGTCTGTCTGTCTGTCCGTCCGTCCATCCGTCCGTCCATCCATCCATCTACCTATCTATCTATCCGTCTATCTATCTATCTATCTATCTATCTATCTATCTATCTATCTATCTATCTATCTATCTATCTATCTATCTATCTATCTATCTATCTATCTATCTATCTATCTATCTTCTATCTATCTGTCTGTCTGTCTCTCTATCTATCTATCTATCTATCTATCTATCTATCTATCTATCTATCTATCTATCTATCTATCTTTTCATACTTTTTAAAACTGTTTAAACTAAATAAACTATTACCAACATGAGTAACGAACATTAGTAAGCTAGTTAAATTAAATATTCTTAAGAGTGATATATGATGTGTTCTTTGGAAGAGTGTACTTGCACTATGATGATATTATATTGTCATTCTGGTAATGAGTGACATAAAATGGCCTTAAAATCACAATAATATTGTTAATCACAATATATTTCAGTGCTAAATATCAGATAACAAAATATAATATGATAATATAACAAAACATGTATATCGTGACAGGCCTAGTTTGTAGGTTGAGATTCCCTAGACTTTCCCAATAAAGTCATTAGGGCCCCTTTTTGCCCTTTTAAATGTTTACTTTTGTAAGTTACTATGAGATACACATTTGTACGTTTTGGGTATTAATGTGTACCTTATTAGGGGTATGAATAAGGACCTGTTATGAACAAAAATGTATCTTTGAAAAGGTATCGCCCCAGGGACAGATTAAGTAACTTTATTTCTAAACATGTACAGTGTATGTGGGTCAATCACTTGACCCTGTTTAACCACATGACCTACATTCTGTATACTATCAAGTGTGTGTGCTTCTGAATGCTATAGAAGTGGTTGAAAGTTGACAAGTTTGTGGAAAGTGCTTGTGATTGGATTAATACCGAAGTCTGTGATAAATGACAAACTAAATCCCTGAATTCATATCCCAAAATATAACAGTAATAAATAAATAGGAGAGAAAAAAACAAACAAAACATTTATGCTAAATAAAATATATTTAACTGCCAAAAATATAGGAACGTAAAAATAATTATAAATTATTTTGAAAATTTTAAATATTTAATAATAATAATACTATATATATTATGTATACATTTCAATATACATTAATGTTTCATATTTAAATATAAATGTGTTGTGTCAATAATTTACAACTGAAATTATATATTTTATACAGAATAATCCTGTAGTCAACTGTAAATGTAACTGTAAATACATTTACAAGATTTTAAAGTCTAGAGAAAATGGAGGTATGACGTGTTTGACTATTTATAGGGGTTTCCTCTTGAGCTGATTGGATAATAGAATGATTGTGTGTGTGATGAATGAAGCTGCGGTCACATTAGAGTTTAAGCATGCGAAATTTTGTGCAATTTACAGCATGTTGACTCACTTTAAAAATTACACATTGAATCATTATAATAATGTAATAAGTAATGCACAAGCTTATTAAAACATCTATTTTTAAACTTTTGGGTCTCTTCATTATGTTTTTTGCTTTATTTCATGATTAGATACCATGATGATTGTTTCTGTAAACAACTTTAAGCAAGTCTTTTATTTTGGTTATATCAACTTTTGGGAGACGATTATTAAATTTACAAATTATGGGTTGCAGCTGGAAAGGCAACGTAATACATATGCTGGATAATTTGGCGGTTCATTCTGCTGTGGCGACCCCAGATTAATAAAGGGACTAAGCCGAAAAATTAATGATTGATTGAAATTATTTCAAAATGTCACAACTCATTTCAGTGTGGAGTTTGCATGTTCTCCCCGTGTTGGCGTGAGTTTCCTCCGCGTGCTCCGGTTTCCCCAAGAGTTAAACATATTTAACAGTAATAAATAAATAGGAGAGAAAAAAACAAACAAAACATTTATGCTAAATAAAATATATTTAACTGCCAAAAATATAGGAACGTAAAAATAATTATAAATTATTTTGAAAATTTTAAATATTTAATAATAATAATACTATATATATTATGTATACATTTCAATATACATTAATGTTTCATATTTAAATATAAATGTGTTGTGTCAATAATTTACAACTGAAATTATATATTTTATACAGAATAATCCTGTAGTCAACTGTAAATACAAGATTTTAAAATGCTGAAGTGAAGTGAATATTAGTGATTATAGTTCATATGTTATTTTCTGAATATTTATACATTTAATTATTATTTCATATATAAAAATAAATTTGTTGTGTAAATAATTTACAATTTAAATGAAATACAATTTTATTCACTTCTATTAAAAATAAAGCTGCTGTGAAATAATTCATGACAAACAAAATCCCACAAAACTTAAGATCCTATTTTATAATGATTTGTACAATGGAAATAAAGCATGACTATTTTTATGGCTAACAAAAATCAGCTGGAATTAAAAGTAGGACAGAATGTTTAATATAATTTGGAATATTTCATATTTTATATTAAAACTAAATATTTGCATGATGCTTAAATCATTTTAAATCATTTTTGTGTGTGTTTTGAGACTAAATTGCACTGAATTTTGATAAAAAAAGAAGTCACAAAATAAAAAATCAGACTGGACCTTAACATATTCATTTACATGTACATGCAGCATTGCATAAATGCATAAAACAGTATCAGCTCATTAATCAGATCTTGATTAAACAAAGTATGCAGCTGATGTTGGTTTCCCTCTTATGGTCAAATAAGGCCATTAAAGCCTCATAAAAAGTTTTTAAATCACATATTGAACCACAAGATCTTTTTTAATCAACTTGTATGTTATTTCACAACACTGCTCAATCTTTAAAATGCAATAATGCTCTAAAATAATAATAATATAAAGTGCAAACTTACTCTTGTAAGAAGGGCACATGGTTAATTGTGTATAAAATCACCGGCGCTGTCAGAGACAGAAGAAAAACGCTGATCTCTGGAGGAAAATCCATCTGAAAACACGAAAGTGACGCAAATATGAGAATATCCCTTGAGTCCTGTCGATGATCTACTCCAGCAGAAATATGCAGGCAGTGAATAAAAACAATAATAAATAGTTTTGAAAAATAAATATCTAAAGAGTGAAAAGGCACATCTTCAGTCTTGATTTCCCTGAGTTTTAAAGTGTGTGTGCAAGTGTGTGTGTCGTGCTGTTCAGCTCAACACTGATGATGGAATCAACATGAAATCAGTGCAAACCTTTCAAAGTCCACGGACTCTGAACTATTACCGCCCATTAGCTATAGGAAAGAGTGCTACCAATCAAACACACACACACACACACACACACAGTCATACTGTACAACCGTCTTGTAATACCTGTGTAGATTTGTGTCCTGATTTCACGAGTTCACACTCACAGATATTTATCTGAATAGAATATGCGCATTTGGCATGCTGTCCCTGGAGAGGGCTCTGAGTTTGGGAAGACTCCATAACTCATGTTACTCCCCTTATCAGGATAAAGAGATAGGGTCCGAGCGCAGTATCTAGCCCGGCTCCAGAACGCTCCCCCTTCAGATTCAAATAGGTTTCTGGTTTAATAGTGTGGAGTTGGGGTGGTGGAGGGTCGCTGAAGTCTAGAGAAAATGGAGGTATGACGTGTTTGACTATTTATAGGGGTTTCCTCTTGAGCTGATTGGATAATAGAATGATTGTGTGTGTGATGAATGAAGCTGCGGTCACATTAGAGTTTAAGCATGCGAAATTCTGTCGTGTGGCTCTGCGAAAAGGGGCGGGATTAAACAAGTGTATTAGACATTTTTAAAAGCGAGCGATTGCTCCATGTTTTAAATTTCTGTCCATAGATGTCATGTTTTGATCCTCGATTGGTCTCACACAGACAAGTGATGCAATATCGCAGGTCAGAGTTCACCAAGCTTGAACTTTGCACCGCAGCAATCTGCGAAACTTGACGCACGGACCTGCGTTTCCGGTCTGACGCATTCGCGTGTGTATGAATGGAAGTCTATGGGAGGAAAAGCCCAGTGTGACCGCAGCTTTAGCCTCGCCAAAGACGGATCGTGCTCCTCCCGAAATTTGTTTATAAAACATCAATTCAATTCAATTCAGCTTTATTTGTACAGCGCTTTTGCAATGTAGATTGTGTCAAAGCAGCTTCACATAAATGGTCATAGTAACTGGATCAGGGTAGTTCAGTTTTTAGTGTTTAAGTTTAGCTCAGTTCAGTGTGGTTTGAAGTCATTATTGAGAGTCCAAACACTGAAGAGCAAATCCATCGATGAGTAGCTTTTCAGATCCTGAACTATTCAAGCCAGTGGCGACAGCTGAGAGGGAAAAAAAACTTCACCAATTGGAGAGTGAAGAAAAAAAACCTTGAAAGAACCAGACTCAGTTCGGCACGACCATTTAAATCACACGTCACAAAAATGGGGACTCTCCACAGCTGTAATGAAGTGTACAGATGTCTCCCTCTCCCCCTAAACCCAACCCTTACAGCAAACAATCTGCACTTTTACATTTTCAAAATAGTTAATTTTGTGCATTTTACAGCATGTTGACTCACTTTAAAAATTACACATTGAATCATTATAATACAGTAAAGTAGGATAGTTGATGCACAAGCTTATTAAAACATCTATTTTTAAACTTTTGGGTCTTTTCGTTATGTTTTTTGCTTTATTTCATTGATTAGATACCATGATGATTGTTTCTGTAAACAACTTTAAGCAAGTCTTTTATTTTGGTCATATTAACTTTTGGGAGACTATTATTAAATTTACAAATTATGGGTTGCAGCTGGAAGGGCAACGTAATACATATGCTGGATAATTTGGCGGTTCATTCTGCTGTGGCGACCCCAGATTAATAAAGGGACTAAGCCGAAAAATTAATGATTGATTGAAATTATTTCAAAATGTCACAACTCATTTCAGTGTGGAGTTTGCATGTTCTCCCCGTGTTGGCGTGAGTTTCCTCCGCGTTCTCCGGTTTCCCCAAGAGTTAAACATATTTATATTTGTATTAAAATATAACGTTATATTTTATATCAGATCAGATTATGTCAGTTTGACGTTTTACCCTAGCATCGTGGGGACGTTGCAGTTTGTTTGGAAATGAAAATCGAGTCGATGTCAGAACTCAACCTAAAACCAACCAAATATCAACGTCTAATGATGTTACAGCTTGACGTTGTGTGGACGTTACCACTATGACATCTATCAGATGCTGGATTTTGGTTGCCCAACCAAATTTCACCGTCATTTGACGTCATTATTGGACATCAAAATAACGCTGTCTTTAGATGCTGTCTAGACATTACATTTTGGTCATCTGACATCACAACCTAAATCTAACCTAATATTAACGTCTTATGACGTGCCTGCTGGGCAATAGCGAGATGCACTACATAATGCTACGTTTACACACACATGCACAAATTTCATGTAAAGTAATGGTACTTTTAGTACTTTTAGTACTCTTTCCACCACTGACAACTACAGAGGAAAGACTTACGCATAGCAAAAAAAAAAAAAATGATAGTAATATACTTGAAAATAAAACTAAAAAATATTGTAATTTCTTGATATATTAGTTTCAACTTGATAACAAAAATATCCTGTAAAGGATGGGAAGAGTCTAATTAGCCTACCCTGCTGAAAAATCCTGCTTAAACCTGGTTGGCTGGTTTTAGCTGGTCGATCAGGCTGGTTTTAGAGGGGTTTTGGCCATTTCCAGGCTGGTTTCCAGACATTTCCAGCTTGGTCTTAGCTGGTCAGACTGGAAAATGACCAGCTAAAACCAACTTGACTAGCCTGGTTTAAGCTTGACATAGCTTCAAGCTGGTTTTAACTGGTCATCTCCCTGCCTGACCAGCTCAGACCAGGCAGGAAATGGCCAAAACCCCTCCAAAACCAGCCTGGTCGACCAGCTAAAACCAGCCAACCAGACTAGGCTAGTTTAAGCAGTTTTTTTTTCAGTTGGGTACATATTAATATGTACACTATTCCAAACAGTTTTTTCCTTTTTTCACACTAAAAGACTAAGTAAAACATGATTTCGTCTCCTATACAAATAATAAACTTAAATCTCATTACATTTTCCCTACAGTCCACTGTAGGCTATACATTTTATAAAAGAGTTTAAAAACAAATCTCTTTTATTTTGTTGGGAATTCTGTGGTTTGATGTAATAACCAGTCTTTAGTTGATACTACGCATTATTTAGATATATCATATAGTATTTTAAACAATATTATACTTTTTATTCTGGAAGAAATGTCCGAGAGCGTTGAGTTCGGGTCGTGCGCGGTGACGTCAGCGGAAGAGTCCTCCGTCTTAAAGCTCAAGATGGCGACGTCGACCAGGAAGTAGGTAAACAACCGTACGGGGATAAAAAAATATATAGATTAACCCCTCAAATACAGCCGTGCCGATCAAGAAAAAGGCAGATTGAGCGGTCGTTAGTGTTCGTGGAGGGTTTTCGCGGACGGGGGGTGTTTATTAACGCGCGGTGAGTGGGTTTTCTGTCAGGTTAGCATGTTAGCTCGATTCAGACAATAGCGCTCCATTGAGTCTGTAAGAAAAAACACACAGACAGCTGATAAATTCGTTAATAAATCAATTAAGTTAGTCTGTAATAATCAATATGAGACGGGAATCATGTTAAAGTGACGTGCTGGATGGGTTAGTGCTGTTTGGTGGGTGATTTTCAGGCTGACAAACGCCCAGACAGATTGTTTTATGATAATCACATATGAATGTAAACGGCTTTAGCTTGATATCGTCTGCTCTTAAAGGGTGGATGGGGGACGGGCTGGGCTGTAAAGCTCAGAATAAAACTTATTGTAAACTAGACAAGGTCTATATCACATATTTAACGTATTAATGAGTTAGTTTTGTCTGTCTGATCGTCTGTATATCCATCTCTTAGCTATCTTTTAGAAGACCATATATATATATATATATATATATATATATATATATATATATATATATATATATATATATATATATATTACACAGACCATTCTCTGTACTTCTGGATTTATTAGGTAAGGGTATGAGTAAAATGTACTTTTTTATTTTAAATGTATTATAAAGATTCTTCATGATTTATATTAAAAATATTTTTAATTAATACAATTTTTAATGACTAACTGTGGGTCAGATTGAGGTAAAGCCGGTTTTATATTCACACATTTTGACGTTCCCCTTAACTTAATTTCAGAAAAGTACTCCTTGCCAATTCTAAATGGGGAAATCATATTAGCAGCCAATGACTATCAAAATATAACATTATTTAAAGTCAATTAAATAGTGCTGATGTTGTTTTAAAGTCTTGCATGCGATTTCAAACCGAATATTTAAAGTAGGGCTGCACAATATATTGTTATATCAGCATCGATATTGCCATTCACTGTGACTACAATTCACAGTAGTCACATTGCAAGTATACGCAACGTTGTTGAGTCTGGATTATAACTGATGATTTCGCAAGTGTTTTTTGAGGCCTGTGACTGTGTTGTGAGGGTTTTGTATCATTTGTAACTATTTTCAAATTAATAATTATATATTCTATTCAATTGTTTATAAAACAGAGTATACAGTATTATTTTACAGTTTATTATTCAATTACTGTTCACTTGAATACAGTTAGACGACTCGGAATAATGAAATGCTGTTTATTTAATTGGTATGTTTTTCTTTATTGTATTTATCTGTACGTGTAGATTGTTTATATTTTACGCATATGCACTCCCTTACAGAATCATCCCAATCAATCTAAAATTCTTAATTATTTCCAAAGAGTTATTGGACACATCTGCTGAAATTGTATTCATATTGCAATGTATATTGCAGTATATTCAAATATCGCAATGTTAGATTTTTCCAATATCGTGCAGCCCTAATTCAAAGTAGCATGGTAAACAATATAGGGACAATGTCAAGTTGTTGTTTTGTTCCAAAATTAACGAATGTGCAAATATAAAACCAACTTCACCTCTATGTGGGTCAGAATAACATGTTTTTATTTTTTGTGTTTGAAAATCATGGTTATTCCACCAAATAAAAAGTTAGAATCTTTTGTTTTGTATTGTCTAAAATGTATATACAATGTCTCAAAGCACAGTGCTTTTTTTAGCAACAAAAAACTGTAAATAACTATTTTTTTTATTTAAAAAAATAACTATAATTACAGACTAACTAAATGTTAGCTGGACTGTAATGCTTTCATAGTTTTATGTTGTGTTTCATTAAATGCATTTAATTAGAAAAAAAATTGCT